GGAGATATTATGTGCAAAGAGCTGTAGATTGTCGGAGCAGTTTGAGGGTGCATTCACTCGCAGCGTGGCTATTCCTCTCTCCTGTTGGAGCTTCTGAGGGTTGCTGTCAGGTGAAGGTGGGATTTCTTTGGGTAAACAGTAGGCTGCTCTCTATTGGATCTATGTATTGGCAAGAGCGTGGATTTCCCTTACCGAGTTGCTGGATGGCACTTTGCAAGTGATAGAAATGCTTTAATGTACGCAAACCGGCCATACAACAGCCCCTTGCGTAGAGGCTCCCAAGCCTGCTGTCCTTACCCCATCGAGCACCCGTACGGAGAAGAGAATACAGCTGGGAGGCGCGCGTTCCTGATCCTTTTGAGCAGCCAATGCATTCACCACCTGTAGCATCCGCAGCTTTCCTCATTAGGGAAACCAGCTTTTGCGGACACATTATGTGGCATTTTCTTAACTACTCCGTTACTAAGTATAGCTAGCACACTAGAGAGCGTTACTGAATGGTTTGGTTCGCCGCACTTTTTCTCCCGCCCAAACTATAGCGGCAAAGGGCAGAAGGGAAGAATACGAATATGGCCTTAAGAAGGGCTATCTTAAGCTCTGTTGAAAGTATTGCTTTTGCTTCCACAGGGTGGGCGTGCTCATAAAGACTCCACAATTCTATGAATTGCGCGGAAGGGGTCTCGAAGCCCCCCTCCAAGAGAGGCCCGAACTCGAGCTCCCTTGGCGAAAATAGGCGGTCAGATTCTCTCTCGCTACACAAGAACAGCCTGATGGAGGAACAACAAGGTATTTTCAATAGAAAATATCCATTGGGCAGCTGCACACAAGGGGCTGCATGCGTAAGCTGGCAGCCGCAGCCGTACTCGGAGAGCAGCAGCGGGATCGATTGAGCCCATGGCTCGAAGAGTTGCAGTATGTTTTCGAGGCATAAGGGCCCTTAGACCCTTCTTTTTGTCGTAAGGAAATCGTGAGATGAGCCAGCAGATCGAGGCCCCTAAACGGGGTATGTAACCTCGTGCTGCTACTGCCGGTTATTCTGTCTTTACCGCAAGTAGATGTTGACTTTATGCGTTTGTTTCGCCATTTAGGTGCATGTCTCTTTGCCTTGGGCCCATAGGACACGCATCTTTGTTTTTGTTGCTGCTCTTTTTCTGCAGCGGGAATCCCCCCCTCCAAGACGCAGCGCATGCTGGGGGGCTTGCGCTGTTGGGCCTCTAGGGCGATCAGGGGCCCTAGCCTCTCGCACTCCATTCTTTTTGGAGCTGCAGCCGGTGAGCATCATGGTGGCGCGGGCAAGGGGCTAGGGGCAAAGAGCTGTGGCACCAAAACTGCTGTGACAAAGAGCCGATGAAGATGTACTGCATATGCCTCCTGCACAGCCCTTCAGGCAACTCCATTACAACGTTCCCTCCAGCCGTCTGTGGTCCAAGCTCGTGTACATTGTCTATTGCCTCCTTTTCAACTAGCGTTTTTGTAGTCTCCCTCCATCCTGCTGTCCTATCCCCCTAACCCTCTTCTCTCCATGCTGTTGCCTTCCAGGCATCGGGAGCTATGCATCCTACTACCTTTATCGCTTTGTCTGCCTGACAACTGCGGACTCCACCCACTATGCCATTGCTTCACGCTGGCGATATATGGAGAAACAGAATCTATTCTTCAAAGAGCTCGACGAGACGCTGGCTGCTGGGGCCTTGGGGGCCCTTGTCAAGGAATACGATCCAGTAGCGACACGCCTACCGTTTAAACCACTGTAAGCGTTTATTTTATTCTCTTGCTATCCAATAGAGGGCAGCAGGCTGCCTCACCATACAGCTTTCCGTATTTTGTGTTACGGATTTTTACTCTGTGGCATGTCAGAGGTTCACTTCTGCGTCGCCTGCAGCATTCTTGCCCTTCTTTCCTGTGCTTCAGCTCCGTATCTTCTGTGGTTGCTTTTGATTATGAATCCTCCTCCTTGCCTGTCACTGTATCCCTTTCCCGGCTCGCTGAATGGTGCAATCCCATCCCACATATCCACTCCTTCATCCTCTTCGTTGCCTTCTGCCTGCTGGATGTGTGTCTTGCTATCCGTCCGTACGTTAGGGAGGACAAATACCGCATCTGATGCAGCTGGCGGCTCCGTCTGTAGGGAAGGTAGTTACCCACTCGTTGCGATATAGGGTCGCCTGGCCGTAGCGTTGAAGCTGACAGGCTCTCTATAGGATAGGTCCTCGCCACCCTTTGTATCGCCAGCCAGTTGGAAATCCAAGGAATGAACAGAACTTCTAGAGGAACTCAAGGATCCACATCCGATTTCTCCCTTCGCCCTTGGAGGCCCTGCTTTAGCGCCTTCTATACATGTTGATTCGGGCACAGAAGGACTTGCTACGAATCTGCTTGCATTAGCGGCCCTTCCCTCTCCTGCCTTATATCTGTCATTCTTATACCGATGCTTCTCGGTGATCGTGCAGTCGCTGGGTTTTTGTACCCTTGCACTGTGCTTGCTTCCCCGGCTTCACATGTGCCGGCCCTCCTCTGCTTTTGCCGTTATTCTCTTATGGATATGCGGGTTAGTGCTTCTACTTACATGCATATGGTGTCTTCAACTCCCCGTAAATGGTAGACCTTTGAGCAGATAAAGGACGAGCAGTCTCTTGCCCCGGATCACTAGCTGTTCCGTGTGTGCATGCCAATTCACAAAGGAGCGTGTTTGGCTCCTGCTCAGCCTATGGACGCTGGTGGCTTTTCAAACAGCCCAATAGAGACTCGGGGGCTTCATGAGAACGTAGGCTTCTTGGGGTACCGCTATGGCGATGATCCCCAGAATTTTAGGTTGGGGCTATGAATGTTGGGGGGACAAGTACGCTTAGACGCTTTATAATACACTGGTTATTTTCAAATAAGAATTCGTGAAATGTTCACGAAATGGTTTGATAGAATGCATTAGTTATTGCAGAGTATTGTTACGTTGAAACAAATGCGTGCTAGATGCTATGTGCAAGTGGCTTTGGATGCTCGGAATCATTTGAAGGCGCTGCAAAGCGAACCGTAGCTGGCCCTCTTTCCTCACACTGAGAACTTTCTCTAGGTCACCACAAGGCGGGACTTTACCTGAAAGTTGCTCAATTGCTTGTTATCCGGTTGCCAGCTCAGTGACTACAGAGATCACACACGGGCGTACAAATGTGGCAGAACGGCTGTTCGGGTGCTACACGCCGGGTTGCAAGATAATTTGTACGCATCAGCTTCACAGCCGGTAGCAAGACACCATTTGTCGGCTTGTCAAATGTGCACCAATGTGCTGATGAGGCCATGCGGACCAGAAATATGTGCCACCCATGAGGATGGGCAAGCGATTGATTTCATCAGTCGGTTAGAGAAGTATCTCACTTGCTAGCCCCCAGATGAAGAGAACGAGTGATCCTTGCGGCATTTCTATTGAATGGAGAAGCATTTCAATGGTTGCGTTCTTCTGGTGGAGGCAATCGTCTGTGTACCCCAATTTTTACAGTTCAAGCCTTCATGCAAGCCGTGACTCCACGGCCATGGCCAATACCAGCTCAACAG